TTATATGTGCGAGTGTGTTTATGTAAGGGCAACCATGATAATGACTACATAATGATGTTTGTTTTTATGTCCATCTACGTCCATGTGTGTCCATTTATATGTGTGTAAGTAGGTCATCACATGTGTCAGGATTTATCCTTTAAAGGGCAGGGGTTTCCCTCAGCTAAATACAATCGTTTGCCCTTTAAGGAGTTAAAGTTTGTGCACGTGTGTTTGTTTTAATTTATATGTATGTTTGTGATTGTGTATGTGTATGTATGTGTTTTTGGTTCATTGGATCATTGGATATTTTTTATAACAAACAACTGAGTGACAAAATAACAATATGATTATATGTATAAGAACATTACTTCATATACGTCACCAGTGTTAATATTTTCCCAGTGTGAAGCAAGTTGAAGTCAGGAACGTTTTCCCCCAATATGGGCAAGGCGGGACACAAGAGCGTTAAGAGGGAAGCAGGCGGAGTTCATACTTACCTTCTTGACTCATGCATTTAAGGTCGTAAGTGCCTGAAGGGCCATGGAATACATCAAGTCACATCCAGTATAGTCACAGGATGAGTTTGTTGGGGGATGAATTATCGATACAATACATCTGTTAATGGTAAGGTGCGGCAACTCCCTAATAAGTCAAGTGCCAGACCTGTCTGGAGGAGGAGGGATATTTGGTCAGGAGCAAGGGATGTTGGTGACGGCTGGGGACTGTGCTGTGGTAGGATAGGCACGGTTTATGACAGCGACTTTCTACCTTATGTTGGAGGTGATGCCGACTGTGTGTGTAGTGTTACCACTCTTAGTTACTCACTGGCTTCAGAGCCTGATATGGTTGTTAGTTATAAACACCATCCTCCTCAGACACAAACACACACACGCTAACATACACACCCACAACCTTTATCCTGTGATCAGTTTAACCATGTTGGTGATAGCTGGACGAAGATCATAAATATTTGGTAAGAGACGTGTGGCTGAGACAAGGGTGGAGAGTCTTCAGGGGCGACTCATCCACCTCCTCAGTACATCACACTCAAGCTCTTCTTAGGTATCATGTTCAAGTGTTGCTAAGTTCATTTTCCACCCATTAAGGTTATTAAGGAACATGTCTACTACATGTTTGGTGGATGAAAGACAGTGGATGACATCATTACATTATTTTACACAACGATACTTTACTATAACTAAAAATGTTCCGTAAATTAAGAATCTTTGTGAGTCAGAACATTGTTGGTCTTACCTGTCTGAAAATTGTTACATAATATAATCAGCATCAAGTGAAACAACACCAGAGCTACAGAAAAAATAATCATATTTTTTATCACACTTTTTTTTTTACAAACTTCGAAGATTTTCCCCAGGGCGTCCCGGGTCTGCATTTTGCTACGACCACCGCCTACCAACCCGACTTCTCTGTGAATGATGATAATGGATATGTGAAAACCATCCATGTTCTTAATTCAGTTTTCTAACATCAGAACAGATAACAGTCAAAACAAAGACCTTCCACTTTGATATTTTATTAAGTACTACAATCCATTAAAAACACGTGAACTTGATAAAGGTAACATAATTTTAATATATTATCAGGAGGAAAATGTGGGTGAGTACCTACCAGAGTGAGCAGGTGTAGGCGTGTAGCAGAGAGCCAGCAGCAACAGCCACGTCAGGCAGGTCAGGTAGCCAGCCATCACCCTCACTATGTCCAGGTAGATAAAGTATATAGGTCAACTCACTGTGTCTGGTAGATAAAGTATATGAGTCAGCTCACTGTGTCCAGGTAGATAAAGTATATGAGTCAACACACCAACCTCTCGCTCATACTATATGAAACTCACATAAACAATTCATAAGTAAAATAGGCAAACACGGAGAATATACGTACAATAGGAAAAACTAGACCAGGTGTACAGGTGGGGAGAGAGGAAGTGGCTGTCATGACAACAATGTTTCCAAAACTCTCATACTAACACTTTATCAGAATATTGTCTTTTCTAAAACTCAATGATAACAGCATGACACAAATAGTTTATAAGGAGACAGTGGAGTGGTTTAGACCAATACGGTGTGTATGACTATCTGGCAATAGCCAAACATACTGAAATTCCTCCCGCACGGCCTTATTATACCATGACGATACACAAGTACACTCCTTCACCTCCACGTCGTCTTGTACTTGAGTATGTTTTGTGTAATCTGGCTTTGTACACCGAGTTTGTGTTATCAGGCCTCATTAAATATAATAACATGCCGTACTATAGGCACATTCCTCAACATTGTCACTTCGAATGTCATTTTACGTAAACTCCAGTGTTTGAAGGTTTTCCTGATAATGATTTCGTGGAAAAAATAATTCCAAATACCCAGGTGTCACAGTGAGACTACAAACAGGATATAAAGAGAGCCGGCTAACACCTAACCATAGTCTGGTGGCGCCCAGTCCTACACACACACACACCAGCTTGCTCACTTCATCCTACTGTTGTCGTCTCTCAACCGGTGAATAATTCCTAGTAGTGTTTATATGTGTTGTTGTTTAACCTACTCATGTATTTAGTTGCAACGAAAATATTATTGTATTTGATAATTGTAAACTCTTGGAACGCTCTGCCAGTGTTGTGACCATGGCTAAGGGGTGGGGGCAAGAGGGGGGCTTGGTTAAAACATAAGCAACAAATACTCAACGAAAGAAGGGGATTAAAATAAAGCAAAAACGAGGAAAGAAAACCGAAAAGAAAAGAGAAACAAAAACGGAACATCAACAATAAATCAAGTCATCGCAGCTTCAGTGATTTGACGAATTTCATCAAAATTTGTCTGATTTTTGTTTAAAACCAGACAGAAAAATCCGAACTTAAATGTTAGCCCACCGAGCCCGACTGTGGGGCTTGTCTATCCTTGCCCCCCACCCCAACGCCCACCTCCTTGGAAAGTTCCAGCAGGGTGTCGTTTTGACGGCACCGAGTGTAACCTCTTTGAAGACCAGACTTGACTAACACTAGCGCAGGTACAGGTACATTCAGGGCCGGTGCATGCCCAGTACCAACAGTGCGTAACAGACCAGCTGCCCAAGAAGCTAACGAGCCGATCTGTGGGGAGATAGAAGCAAAAGTAAATATAGGGTTGCGGAAATACTTGTGTCACGGCAGCCAGGTGCCGCATCCAATGAGTACCTGCTGGCCTGTCTCTCTTCTTGTATGCTCAATGTAGGGTGTTGTAACCTGCACTAGTGGACCCAGTGTTAAATTAATTTAAACGTGTTTTATGATATAATAATAATGATAAAAATAAAAATTATTGGTTTATTAATAAATATAAACAGCCATAAGCTGAACATACAAATGACAATAGTGATTAATATATAA